GACAAGTGTTTAACAGAACAGGCGGTAGTACTTAGTGATGCTAGTATGAGTGTACATTTCTTTCATACTATTCTTCATAAGTCTAGATAAGTGATATAAATTGTATCCTTGATTTTGTGTTGTAACTCAATCAACATGACAACATAAAAGTAAGGTTTAACACATTGTACTAAAGCGGGACGGGGGAACGCTTTGACCATGGGGCTAAGACTCCTACCTTACTTCAGAAGCCGTGACTCAGAGCGAACAAGCAACAACGATGAATCGGAAATATACGCAAAAATATATTTGAAACTTTGTATAACGCTCTACAGTTTTAACGTAACATTTGCTGTAATATTTGATCGTATTAACAACGTCAGGTCATGGTGGCATACACTGTGGCTGATTAGTTGCGGAAACAAGCCTACATATTGTTGGCAGTGTCATCCAAACACAGACATCCTCATCATTGTCAACTACTGTAGATGTATCCGCCTCCATGACCGACTGCGTGATGAATGGTTTTCTGACACGTGCTGACGAACGAAAACTAAAGCGTTTACGCACAAACATGTGCAAGAAGCTACCCAGAGTTGTCTCTCTTTGGCGGACTTTGTAGATTTTACTACCGTTTGTTGGAATAGCCTGAGAATGTGAGTGAGGACGGTTTTACGCTGCTTTAACCATCAATGCCATGGAGGGGTTCACAGGAAATGGGTTTCAGACATTGTGCCCATTTGGGAAATGGAACCCGGGTCTTTCTGGCACATCACGACCATGTGATCAACGATAAATATGAATTATCACGTCTGTTCTGTTATCAATATTATTATTACTCAAATCCGGTCTAAGATAAAGATGAATATTCGCATATGTTATTTATCAGCATGATTACTCGCTTGTGTTCTACGAGGTGAGGTGAAATGGGGTTTATTTTCCATATGACGACGTGCATACGTGTGTTAGTGTGGCTGCTTGTTCTAGCCCAGACTTAAGCTGGTTTTATAGTGCTAGCTTACCGAGATACCATGCCGCAGTTAAGCATGAATACCCCACTCAGACACATTATACTGACTCCGAGCCGACCAATCCTTGTTGTACCAATTAATGCCGAGCGTCAGACAGGGACCAACAAGTACCATATTTTAACGTCTTTTGGTATGACGCGGCCGGGGATCGAATTCGCGGCCTTCCGTCTCAGGGCGGACGCCGGAACCACTACATCACGGAGGCGGTTTTGTGTTCTACGAACAATATGAATACTCTATTGTGTTCTACGAACAATATGAATAGTCACATATGTTTTAAGATCAATATGAATAGTCACATATGTTTTAAGATCAATATGAATACTGACATCTGTTCTAAGATCAATATGAATACTGACATCTGTTCTAAGATCAATATGAATACTGACATCTGTTCTAAGATCAATATGAATACTGACATCTGTTCTAAGATCAATATGAATACTCTCTTGTGTTCTACAACAAGATCAATATGAATACAATATGACATCCTGTTCTAAGATCAATATGAATACTGACATCTGTTCTAAGATCAATATGAATACTGACATGTGTTCTAAGATCAATATGAATACTGACATCTGTTCTAAGATCAATATGAATACTGACATCTGTTCTAAGATCAATATGAATACTGACATCTGTTCTAAGATCAATATGAATACTGACATCTGTTCTAAGATCAATATGAATACTGACATCTGTTCTAAGATCAATATGAATACTGACATCTGTTCTAAGATCAATATGAATACTGATATCTGTTCTAAGATCAATATGAATACTGATTGTGTTCTAAGATCAATATGAATACTGTGTTCTAAGATCAATATGAATCCTGACATCAATAGATCAATATGAATACTGACATCTGTTCTAAGATCAATATGAATACTGACATCTGTTCTAAGATCATCTGAATTCTAAGATCAATATGAATACTGACATCTGTTCTAAGATCAATATGAATACTGACATCTGTTCTAAGATCAATATGAATACTGACATCTGTTCTAAGATCAATATGAATACTGACATCTGTTCTAAGATCAATATGAATACTGACATCTGTTCTAAGATCAATATGAATACTGACATCTGTTCTAAGATCAATATGAATACTGACATCTGTTCTAAGATCAATATGAATACTGACATCTGTTCTAAGATCAATATGAATACTGACATCTGTTCTAAGATCAATATGAATACTGACATCTGTTCTAAGATCAATATGAATACTGACATCTGTTCTAAGATCAATATGAATACTGACATCTGTTCTAAGATCAATATGAATACTGACATCTGTTCTAAGATCAATATGAATACTGACATCTGTTCTAAGATCAATATGAATACTGACATCTGTTCTAAGATCAATATGAATACTCCCTTGTGTTCTACCAACAATATGAATACTGACATGTGTTCCATGAACAATATGAATACCCGCATGTATCTACTCAGAGATATCTCTTGATCTCATGGAAGTGATATTTTCATTTGGACAAATAGTGCTGGATGCTTGATGACTGGTCATTCACTGACGAGTTGTGACGAATTACAAGAGATGATACTCACTATATACTATCCTACGCCAAGAGAGTATATATCTGGTTGTTAAACAGTCAGCAATACACTCAAGCTATATCACGGCTTCCTGCTAATATTCGAATCTGGACAAGCCAAGCCAATGATTATTATCATAAACAACGTTCTACGCTCTCGGGGTACGAGAACACGGCATGGGTGAGTGAGTGAGTATGATTTTACGCCGCTTTTAGCAATATTCCAGCAATATCACGGCGGGGGACACCAGAAATAGGCTTCACACATTGTGCCCATGTGGGGATTTGAACCCGGGTCTTCAGCGGGACAAGCGGACGCTTTAACCACTAGGCTACCCCACCGCCCCAGAACACGGCATGAATCAAGACACCGACACTAAACACTGATCCATCGAGCCCATTCTTCCGACCTGAATAATTTCACATCGGACCTAATCTGACCCCAATTAAGTTATTCAATATTATATGGGATATAAATATTGAATATGTTGGTGATATGGTATAATGCCATTTACGTTGCACTATAGGAGGCCCTAAACCAATGATCAACATGGTGTTATATATTTTGGTTGTTGTGTTTAAAGCAAGACGTTTTTCTGTTTTTTGATACAATAAACTTTCCGGATTTACTTTAAAAAATGTCGACAAAGTAGCATTCCATGTATATACACGCTCGCTGATACAAAAAAACCCAAAACTTTCTCTTTATCATTCAATAAGACCAACGAGTTGAGCTTACACGGAACAGTATTCTACAGACCAAATCTGTCATGTCTTTCTTATTATAAATATTTATTTTTGCTGACCTAATTTTCACCAAAATCAGCTAAAAAAAATAAAAAGGGATTGGACTGAACAAAGGTCTGTATTTAGGCTTATGACGTTTGTCTCACATGTACATATTTGGTGACCTGAACGTAATTCGTTTTGCTGACGAGGAGAAAGATAGTGTCATGTCACTGATTGTAAGTCTCGGGGAATGTTCACCGACATGTTCAGACAGAAGCGAGTTCAACTTACTTACAGTCGACCTAACGTCCTATGTCAGACATACAAGGTTTAGATAGTGCACCGATACGAGAGGGAGTGCCACCACGGTACGACAAGCAGGAATAATGAGTTTAAGGTGATAAATTAGGTATGTTTTCAAGTAGCGGTGACTCTGTCGAGAGCGACATGGATAATACCTTGTTTTTTCAGATCCGTTAAGTGTTCATGTACAGTTAATCTTCGTTATTGCGCCACCTTTGGTGACACGTGGATCTGTTATACGGCGTATACCAATATGCTACACTGTTTATGCTACATTTTGTGTGATTCAACAGCTTACACATAACAGGACACACATAGGGTATCACACGTGAACTACGGCTTCCTGTTCTTTTAAAGAGGGACTCCGCTGTATTGTAACGTTGCAAGCATGTCATATTTCAACACGTTAACTTTAACTGTCAGGCAAACGAGAGTATACGTTATACTGAGTGATGGCTAAAAGGATGGTGATTTGCTGGTGTTGTAATTTCGAAGAGGTCAAATTGTGTTTTTTGGATCTTAAATTTTCGTTTTGTGACATTTTTTTTACATTTATTTTGGTCGAATCGAATTATCAAGGGCTTTGCTTCGCAGTTCACACAGATATACAAAGGAATTTGAGCAAAGTTGGAGAAAATTTGAATCCAAAGGATGCCATTTGAGCCAACCTAGTAGGTTCACTACCGAATCAAACATAGAGGTTATATCAGTATATTCTGTTATGAAAACATTGCGGGTGGTTATCGTCTTGGCTGTTTGGGGCGGTAGGGTAGCCCAGTGGTTAAAACGTCCGCTCATCACGCCGAAGACCCGGGTTCGATTCCCCATGGGTACAATGTGTGACGCCCATTTCTGGTGTCCCCCGCCATGACGTCGTTGGAATATTGCTAAAAGCGGCGCAAAACCATACTCACTCACTCACTCTTTACAGCTGTCTCTGTGTCCCATATTTAGATTCCTGTAAGCGTTTATAAAATCCACCTGTATGCGCAGCTTCAAGGGAGACAAGTCGTGAATGCATAGTCACCAAATACTAAAATGTTTGGTTTAGTTTGAAGGCCGCCTTAAGCAATATTCCAGCAACATCACGACGGGTGACACCAGAAATGGGCTTCACGCATTGTGCCCATGTCGGGAATCGAACTCGGGTCTACCCCCCCCCCTAAAGTGTTTTGGCGTGATGAGCAAACACTTTAACCAGTATGCTACCCCCTAAAGTGTTTTGTGGTGACGATACAAACAACAAATGCTATAACATGAGAGAATTAAACTTTGGAACTTCAAAGTCCAATGCAAGATGCAAATTCGTTCATAGTCTATAAAAATGCTGATGGCCTGCAGTGGTTGATGAATCAAGTGATGGGACTGGGGATATATTGGAACTTACCGATGATGTTGATTGTAGCTCGCCCACCCCGCTCTTCATCTTTGATTGTCTTGGCAACTTCTGCAGCCTGTAAACATACACCAAAGTGGTCACAACGGTCACTGTCAGGGGTATATGGCATACAGACAACTGATGCCTGACCTGGTAACTAAACATGAAAACATTGAAACGCAACAGATGTATGACAGTGCACTCAACCAGACAAAAAATAAATAGAAAGGCTCTCAGTGAAAGCTGTTAACGTATACTTACGAAAGAGTGCGTACATTTTCACGTTATGGTAAGGGACATCACTGTTCACTAACAGTGAGTGAGTGAGTTTAATTCTTTTTAGCAACATTCCAGCAATATCACGACGGGGACGCCATAAATGGGCTTTATACATTGGGGAATCGAACTCGGGTCTTAGGCTTGAAGAGCGAACGCTTTAACAACTAGGCTACCCCGCCGCCCGTGTCCATGAACACTTGCCCCTGACTATGATACTGGTGTACCACGACGTAACAATATTCCAGGAGCGGTCAACAATCCGAGTCAGTCGCTCGTGTCAGTGTTATACATAATGGCGTCCGTCCGAGGTATTGCTGACNAGTGGTTAAGGCATGGGGGCGGTCTGGGGTAGCCTAGTGGTTAAAACCAAAAGCGTTGGCATCGCTCCCACAGTCGCAGAAGACCCTGGTTCGAATGCCCCCACATGGGTACAATTCGAGATGGATCCTTCCAGCCCATTTCTGGTACACAGGTGTCCCCCGCCGATGATGTTGCTGGAATATTGCTCAGTGAGAAAGCGGCGTAAAACCAAATTCAGTCAGTCAGTACACGAGCCAACGCTTTGTCCTCAACATATGCTTGTGGTCAGGTGACTAACTGAATCGGATGGTCATGCTCCCTGATGGCATATCATGGATTCCCAGTTGCCTGGGTTGATGCCTCAGGATGTAAATCCCCTTTGTACAACGGTGCTTCAGGAACATATGTTGTTGAGTTATGTCGCGAAACATACGAACAACGCAAATCCAGCAAATGCACGTCTGTCATTATTCCACTTCGGCTCATAATGGGATACAGGAGATCTGTAATACCCCCCAAATTCTCCGGTGCTACAGAAATAAAAACAGGTTAAAGCAGGTGTCGATACATCAACTCCAGTAAGTCTTACTTTGATTCGCTCCATCTTGCTGCTGGTCGGTCCATTCCACACATACATGACAAGGCCGCAGTCAAGGATGAATACATCCCCTTGGTTCAAAGAACTGACGTCACACTTGACCTGTGCGGTAACGAAGGACATTAGGTTTTGAAATCTATGCTAAACAAACATAACTCACGTTCACACCCAAAACAATTATACATTGAGCTATCCCCATCCCATGTACTTTATTATTATGCTTGTATCGGAATTGGAATTGTGAGGTGAGGTGAGGTAATATTGGGTTGAACGTCGTGCTTGAGAATATTTCGCTCATATGACGACGTGCATGCGTGTGTATGTGTATGTGCGGCTGCTTGTACTAGCCCAGACTGAAGCTGGTTTTATAGTGCTAGCCCACTGAGATACCATGCCGCAGTGAAGCATGAATACCCCACTCAGACACATTATACTGACTCCGAGCCGACCAGTCCTTGTTGTACCCATTAATGCCGAGCGCCAGGCAGGGACCAACAAGTACCATATTTTAACGTCTTTTGGTATGATGCGGTCGGGGATCGAACCCGCGACCTTCCGCTGTCCGGGCGGACGCTCTAACCACTACACCATGGAGGCGGTCTCGAATTGTGATGTCTAAGTACACCGGATAACGTAATCACGTAAAGGTAATGTATGGCGTTGACGGGTTACATCTCAAGGGTGACAGCTCTTAGTGTAGGACCTCCCCAGGTGATGAAGGTCGAAGATGTTTACCAAAGGGGAACTATATATTGACTACAAAGTATTGATCATATCAATATCATATCTAACCAATATCCCCAAAACAATGAGTGAATGAGTGAGTTTAGTTTTACGCCGCACTCAGCAATATTCCAACTATATGGCGGCGGTGTGTAAAAAATCGAGTCTGGACCAGACAATCCAGCGATCAACAGCATGAGCATCGATCTGCGCAATTGGGAACCGATGACATGTGTCAACCAAGTCAGTGAGCCTGACCACCCGATCCCGTTAGTCGCCTCTTACGACAAGCATGGGTTACTGAAGGCCAGTGTTTTAACCCGGATCTTCACGTGTACCAAAACAATGAAGAATGTTTGATTCCAATACATGTTTAGCCGTTTCTAAAGTTAATTTAAAGCCTTGGCGTAGATGTAAATGTAAACAAATAACTCATAAGCCACCAGACAGGGATGACAATAGTCAATAGTTCGAACGTCAGTGGGTCAAACAGGTGCTTGCGTCAGGATGAACTGGCGCACTAGCCTTGACACTACCTCACTATTGACCGAGAGGGGAAGATATATACCGACCTGTCTGACTCTCACGTTCCTCTTCCCCTTTATGTGGAGAAGACGGGTGTCATACTTGTCTCGCTCGACCTTCTTAAAGCCCGAGTCCACCCCGCCATCTAAATATCTAGAAAATGGAAGCAGGAATACAAACGGACATGTGTAGTGACATCAGAAATGAGGCTTCGTTGTACTGTTAGCCTAAGGGAGAAGTTGAAGCCAACGTTAGAATGGTAGACGGGCTATCAGAGCGCTAATGTTAACATACATTAAAGTACAATTACTAATATATAATTATCGCATGAATCCTCTTTGTACTTTTTACATGGGTTTGGTTAAACGACGTTATGATAATGTGTGAGGGATGCACAAGCTATGTTGATGCAGACAACGACATTTCCGACTTTGAAGCACAGAATGCGAAGAAAAGGGATGGTGTATGTATATATCATAAGGTAAATCTAGGATGCTGGATCCTAGTAGAGACAAGGGAAACAACTCTACACAGAGTAATTAGTCCACTTGTTCATAAAATATGTGCTCTGAATAGGTTTTTAAAATATATTTTTAAGATTTATTTCTAAATTCATATAGATTCGTTACTTTTATAACTGTGCAGGATTACAAGTATGTAGTTTCTATGAGACTGCGTTTAATAGAGTCAGTATATTGCAGTACAGAATATTTGAGACAGTGATGTATTACAAAGTATAGTTTGAAATTTCATCTTATGGTCTGATGTACAGTCATTCTGTAGATTGTAGTAATGTGGGAATTCGAACATGGGCTTTCGTCACGACGAAACTAAACCTTAGCCTTAAGACTTAACATTCACGAACGCGAGAGTAACATGATTTTAGCTCAGCTAATAAACCATAAACTGTTCTCCATAAACATGTCAAGTGGAATCAATCCAACTACAACCGTTAGCCCCATGATGCACATAAACATGTATAGAAGACACGTGCTCCATGAATATTACTCATTTCTGTTTTCTATTATCTAAAAATAAGAAAAAAACATATTCTTTGATCTTTTTCCAAACAATTCTTATCATATTTGAAAGACTACTTGGAAATTCACCGATGTCTTTTTAAAGAGCGCAAATTAAGCAGCAAAGCTAACTATTTCTTGTAAATAGAAGCCATGTATCGTTAGAGGTAACGAAATGCAGTAATGAGTTTGTTTCGCAAGACGAAAGCAAAATGCTGTGAAACACATGCTCACAGTTATTGCGTAAACACTGACAATGGTACCGGATTGGTACAACCAACGAAAAGAACAATGAAAGAACAAGTTTAAAAAATAAAACCAAATTTATTTTATGTCACAAACGCTTTGATGCCTCATCATGTTAAGATAACCATTGGTTCTTAAAGCATGTTCAGTATACATATGTGTATCAGTTTTCGTGGTGCTGGCACCGACGTCTTCAGCAGCATCGTTGTTTGCATTTCACCCGATGCAATTAAAACGTGGCCCCAGGTTGTATTGAGACTCTACCACCGGTATAGCTACGTCTAGTTTTCAAAACAGGAACGTTGCTAATTGCGCTTTGACTTGAGAACATCCTTCAGTAAGACATGTGTTGTTAGCATGTACATTTCGTTCCAGCTTGAAATGTACATTTCTGACACATGCTTTGCTTCGTATGGAGTGGTTGGTTTAACTTGTGTGTGTAGATTTGTTGCATGTGAAAGAGTCCTACTTGAATTCGAACTATGAGAAACTCGTTCTGGCCAAACAACATAACAATAAGACTTCACTGTCCAATACTCTTGTCTCAGTAGGTAGATTCGCTGGTAGACTTGCACAAGTCCCTGGGGTAATAATTAATAGTTTAAATAATAATTTCTAAAAAATATAAATAGACATCAAACAGACTGGCGTCCTTATTGTCCACTTATCTAGACTTGCCTCTTTAAAGGATAGAATTACTATACATCCATGGGCTTAGCCTTCAGTACAGTCTTGGAGCAAGGCTAGCTTACTGACTTCAGTGGAAATACGGCTGAAGACATGAAGCGCTTCAGTGACTAGTCAAGTTAAAATTACCTCTTCCCAACAACTAAATCTGCAACTTGAAAAGATTTAATTTAAAGGATGCCAGCTAGAGTTCCAAGATCAGAAGCACAGATAAGCTGCTACGTGTTAATTGTAATTGTGACTAGGATTTCGTTGTTGAAAGTTGAACATAAATGTGATGAGTTATCAGTAATTAACGCCATCTGTATGGAATGAATGGGTTTAGTGAGAAGGTCTAATCACAATATATATATAGTCTTATGATCCTTAAACCAGTTTTATAATCACACACCAGATACAAGTATCTTAGGGTTACTGTTTTATAGCACATATGACGTTATTTTGTGATTTACAATGATTAGAATGACTGCGAATGTAATACTAAGTGGTTTGGCCTGCATACATTTCACCCGTATTACGAAAACGAGTGTAACATAACCACCTATGTTTTTCAGTTTTGGGAGGGAGAACAACCAGTGTTTTAGTTCTACAGGCCAACGCCCTTGTGTGTGTATGCTCAATGGAAATGTGCAAATACTTCCAGTTATGCGAAGTTCAACACAACCACAAAATGATGGTTATTATGGAGTTCCCGGGCCCAGTTTTACTTTGAGGTAATCGTAGGTTCGAGACATCAAAGTGGTGTTTCACTGCATTTTGATTTTTTAATTATAACGATAAGTCTATATTTTCAATTTTTTGTACATTTTACCGAAACACAAGAGCACGACTATTTTACTGACAAAACCACAAATCAATCAAAAATGTTCCTAAAAGAGTAATTCAGTTGTCATGGAAACCATGGTAACCGTCCATGCCTCCCGGGCCAGACTACGTGTCCTACGGGGACTGTTGCTCATGCCATCACCCACTGGTCTGCCTGTCCAGACTCGATCGTGTACACGTGACTGTGATACTAAAGGAACTATTCCGACTGCGGCATTAAACAACAGTCACCCACACACCCATTCGACTCCCATCTACAACCATGTAAAACGTGAATATACAAACTCACCTAATTCCTTTTTTGAAATAGGATAGGAACAGCTGAGATTCGTGATCTTGCACCTGAAAGATATGCCCGACTGGTGGTTAACTCAATCGCTCTGTAAGTTTCTCTGCACAGAATATCTATTTACAAACACAGCAATCATTAATCGAAATCAGCATGTAATTTCTTACTTTGACAAGTGGATCTACATTGATTGACACCTGTACATGTCTGTCATATCACATGTCAAGATAAGGCTGATTTAAAGGAGGTATTTGTTCGTGGTATCTGACTAGTCTCGTTCTGCTGAAACATGTATGATAGATGTGCTTGAGACGTGTATTCTTATAATGAACGGGATTATCAATGGATTTAGATAAATACAGACAATTGCGATGAGTATTAGGGACAACTACTACTGATACAGTGATGTTAATTCACATGATCAAACAGGGTGAAGTTGATACATTGTGATATTTATTTACATATATAGATATATACATTCTTGATGATAACGTGATGTTAAGTTATACATTCCGTGATGATAACGTGATGTTAAGTTACATGTATAGTTTTTACTAAGGTAACGTTGATGTATGTATCATGTTAATGTATATATGTATGTATGTATGTAAGTCAGTATTTTACCATGTAATGTATGTATGTATGTATGTATGTATGTATGTATGTATGTATTGCAGTGCACGCACGCACGCACGCACGTATGTTTGTATTTCAGGGCTCAAATATGTGGTCAAATATCATTAGTTTCCGGGGCAAGTATCATGTGGGAATATCTTTCAATGTAGCCACAGTGTACTGATCTCTTTTCTGTTCTCTACTTTGTGAATCTAGAAGACGAATTACGATCGGCAACTACCTGAAGTAATTAGCGAGTGTCGTTTGATCTGAGTTGGAAGACTGATAGTATCAGTCAGGTAATGCAAAACAGATGCTAATAATTTGCCATTTTACCTTTATAGTTATTTTACGAAATGAATGATTTCACGGTCTGAATTCACATATAAACAGTTGACGCTGTGGTGTTAATTCAAATGTATAAGCACGGTCAAACTGATACTTTGATACTCTGTCCTCCCTGTAGTCCGGCGGTCAGCTGATTTCCAGATAGCGTTATGGGAGGAAGAGTTTGTAGATGAGGAACAGGTGTGATTCTGAGATATGGAAAACCAACTTTAGGAGTACTAATGGCAGCAGAACACAGACGGCCTCGCTTTTCAGAAAAGCTCAAACAATCCTCAGTATCATCACGTTACCACAAACACATTTGCTAAAGATACATACTATCAAATAACAATTGTCTTTTTTAAGAGATGCATTACAATCCCCCATGAGGGGCATCTGACCGTACAACTCATCTGGCTGTTAGTTCAGTGGTTTGCGCCACACTGTGAACGTTGTCATGCGTCAACAGCCAAAGAAAACCATATGCCCTTAACTAGAGGAGCTGTAGACAGATATTTGAACAATATGTAAGTAACCTTGAGTTACAGTTGCGGCAGGATCCGCTACTTAGACACCTGGTGTCAAGCATGCAGCGACAGAAATAGCCTCGATCCATTTTATTTCACTTACGATGTTCGATTTTCGATATGACAGGAATATTAGAAGGGTCTTCTCTGACTTTTGAAAAAAAATGAAAATATGTAATTGATTTCTTCAAGGTATTATACACTATTTATAAAATGTATGCTTGTATTTATCATTTAAATATTATCCTGTGCGTTAGACCAACATGAATTGTTGTAACCCTGTCAGACTTGAGGTGGGTGTAGTATCACAGTGTATAGCTACCACTATAAAACAAAACCACATTTGATGTTAACCACTGAAATAATACTGAACATGCGTTCACCTCTCTGTGCTGGACAGGGGCTCCGCCAAGGCTGTCGTCTAGTTCCACCGTCTTGTATGCGGCCACGCCCTTTTCGTCCTGCATATAAGCGCACAATGTCAGTTTAGAGACACTATTTTATAAAAGATGGGCGAGAGATTGTTGTTAAAGACTCAGCGTGTTCCCAGGTATATGACAGTGAGCTGTCAATACTATCTGGCGCTGTCAATACTATCTGGCGCTGTCAATACTATCTGGCGCTGTCAATACTATCTGGCGCTGTCAATACTATCTGGCGCTGTCAATACTATCTGGCGCTGTCAATACTATCTGGCGCTGTCAATACTATCTGGCGCTGTCAATACTATCTGGCGCTGTCAATAATATCTGGCGCTGTCAATACTATCTGGCGCTGTCAATACTATCTGGCGCTGTCAATACTATCTGGCGCTGTCAATTATATCTGGCGCTACTATCTGGCGCTGTCAATACTATCTGGCGCTGTCAATACTATCTGGCGCTGTCAATACTATCTGGCGCTGTCAATACTATCTGGCGCATCCTAAACTGTGGTTGACATGATCAGGACATTTCTCCGCCGTCGGCGTATGACGACTGCAAGTATCGACGCTCATGATGTCCACCACTGGTTTGTCTAGATAGGCTGTTTTACAGAATACTGCTTAGGACAAAGAACAACGAAATCAACAACAATAACAGAAATTAAAAAGTTTAAAAATTGTTGGCCTCTCCTAAATTATCGGTAGTATTGTCTACCACAATGAAATCCTGGTGTAATACTTTGTTATGAAGATTCAGTTGTGGATTTTGCTTCTCAACGCTGATTTAATCTGGATGTGACGCATGTGTCAGAATTTCCAATCCAAGGTTATAATGTCGTTAACGTCTTGGTAAGGTCACTGTCCATACACTCCATAAAACATGACGACATTAACCCTGGTCAGTCTGCCCATTGTCTGGGTGGAGAGTGACCGTGCATCGTATTACATTTAATTCATGACTAACTGGAGAACCACGTGGTATTGGGAGGATGTAGACACACATGTAGTTGTTGACTGCAATGTCATTATTTGATAAAACTATCGGACACAATTGTGAGTAAGTGACCACGGTCGTACGTCGCTTTTTCGCAAAATTCCAGGAAGATTAGTTCTTGGGACGCCAATACCACCACGCCATCTACCCTAACCTAAAATATTGTCCGCCCTTATTGATGCAGGCGAGCCGTTTACCTGTTGAGTTTAGGCATTCAGCTGAATATACCAAGTATGTGAATACTGCTGAAAAACAAATCGCTGCAGACTTTATAATATGAGAGTTTTCTGCTTTGGGCGATTAATGCTGTTTTTACACATAGTTCAATTATACCCCTGGTGTAAGCTAGAGATCTAGGATGTGAAAATCTCCAATTCTTCTGGTTCCCATGAAAACATGCATTGCCGTGATCTACCAATGGTCTTAATGCCATCCAATATGAGATTCGAAAGCAGCTGATCCACCTCTAAACTTGGTCAGAGTCTCAAATACACTGAAGAACAAAATAAACTATACCTCTCATATGACAAACTTTCAATTACCAATATCCCAAGGTAGCGAAATTATACATAAAAAACTATTTTGGCGCTTTGCAGACTTCTTGTCTTAAAGGTATTTGAATTAAAACTTTAAAAATTAAAAAGAAAACATAAAGAACTTTGCATAATACACAATTCAACAATTTCAACAACATGTCCCCGACTTGCCCGTTCTTGTGTTTGTGACTCGTGTAACCGTGCAGGGTAGGATATGCTCACCTTTGGGAACTTTGGGCATTGTCCCGGTTTGAAGATCGTCCATAAACATCACGTGGCTATAGAAGGATATCTTTTTATTTGAACAATCGTTCTGTATTTGTTAAAAAAGCACTTAATGAAAATTGGTTATGTTCAAAATACATATTTTGAAATATATATGATACTGACAGTTGTTCTTACGTAAATGTATGCTACAAAGTATTGGTAGATATCTGCCCCTGTCACTCATTATACATATGTTTTACATTCCATCAGCTGAACTGAATTCTGGCATTTGATTATTTGGACATCTGCAATACATTTAAATGTATACATTGGAATCTGTCTATTATGGACTGGACTGGGACCGACTTATTTGTCCGGATTGTAAAGCGGTCCGGATAGGACAACTTTTGTCCGTTACCGTAGACACTGCCACGATGAGTTACCGTAGATAAGCCGAATTTTGTGGACCCAAAAGACAGTCTGTAGGAGATGGTCGACTTATCTATGGGTTACACTTTCGTTAAACATTTATTCAGGGGGTAAGAAAGTGACATCGCATCGCTTCGCGTGAACAAACAACAGAAGACGTCTTCAATCCTGCAATATCATAGTCCATACAATTATACAAACAAAAATCTGTATTGCAAGACACTCGCATTTGTATTTTCGTACTCTAACATTTATATTTTCATACTCTCACATTCATATTGTTATTGTATAATATTTGTATGATCATAATCTCACATATGCATTGTCATACCGGTACATTGAAGCATGTCATCTTTGTCATATTGTCACACCTATGCATCTCACATACTCTCACATATGTTAAGATCACATATACATTCTCATATTCTCACATGCAATGTCATGCCCTCTACCTTGTATTGTCACACACCAAAGTATTCTTGTCACACTCTCACATATATATTGACCAACGTTTACGTTAATCAACTTATACCAATATTGTCATACACAATGTCATATACCCACACGTGTATTACCATACCTGTTCGGGAGAGTTCACTCAAACGCATCTCGTTCAGTTAGTGTTTATGGAATTAAAACATTCATCGAAACGCAGCTACTTCGCGGAGTTAAATTTCCATAGACACTGACTGCACGAGAATTGCCTGCGAGTGAACGACACATGCTCCCTGACTGATTTTAGGTGTTAGAATTCGGTCAGTTTCCAACATCGCTGATACCAGACGTTAAATTTAGAGATAGGTTAGAAAGTCAGTCAGTTGTAAGATATTCAAATTAGCTTAGATAATCAGTGGGGTTTAGTTAGTGGAGAAAGTTAGAGGTTAGATATTCGGGGCTAGATTAGTTTGGAATTACTCGGGTTTTGAACATTAATAGAGTTAGAATTTAGATATTAGGCCATAAGGGTTTAGTAAAATTAGTTAAATTCTTAGAAATTCATCTACGAAATAGTTTACATATTTAGTTAGTTGTTCATACATCCGTTTCTTATCCATAAGTGTTAGCATAATATAATTATTTAATTCTTCAGTTCCTCATTAGAACTAATAATAATATTGTTATCACGTTTAGTTCCTCAGTTACGCTTTAGACAATAAGTGTTTTCACGGTTAGTTGATTAGATTCATTTAGCAAAGTTTTCCACAAAAACCGTCAGAACAGCACCAGCACATTAAACTTGTCATACACTCATAACTGCATTGCTGTACTCTAACTTGTGCATTATAATACTCTTATAATCTAATGCTATACTTTCATACCCGTTGTGTCATACTGTCACAATTCTAACCTTCTAAAGTTCTCACCTTATCATATCTCTACCTTTCTGGTGTCATACTCTCACTCGTATATTGTCATACACTCACAACCATTTTGTCATACACTCACAGACCCGTGAAGGTCCGGGTTAGAAAATTGGCCTTCAGTAACCCATGCTTGTCGTAAGAGGCGACTTACGGGATCGGGTGGTCAGGCTCGCTGACTTGGTTGACACATGTCATCGGTTCCAGTTGTGCAGATCAATGCTCATGCTGTTGATCACTGGATTGTCTGTTCCAGACTCGATTATTTACAGACCACCGCCATATAGCTGGAATATTGCTGAGTGTGGCGTAAAACTAAAATCACTCACACACTATAAAGCAGCTTCCAATTGGGCCAGGTTCTGAACAGGAGGATCCCTTTGTTGACCAATCATGTCCCAGATATGCTCCAAAGGGTTAAGATCGGGGATAATTGAATCGTGAGATATGTCCGGGGGGTGCTTAACTAAGTTCTTTGTGTACACGTTCACATATACATTGTCATACTCACAGCTCTGTACCATCATTTAGGTCATCAATGATAAAAGATACAACGTAATAATTAAACCTACAAATACCAACCTGTGAAGTGGTGTCACCCAACCAAAAGTGCACGTCCCACTGGTATTTGTTCGAGTTTGGCACTTGCTTTGTCTGAAACACATGATCAAATCAGTTGTTACGTCACAATGTCATTATGTCGAACACAGAACATCGTTTTTTTCACCATCACCTGCTCCTCAAATATGATAAAAAGTTCATAGAGGAACAATCGTAAAGTTAGTGAGTGAATGTTGTATAACTAACGACAGTCCATGAACAATCAAACCTGGCCAGTTTTTCATATGTTATGTTGATGATGTTATGATCATATATGACCATGTTCTGTCTGTGTAGACCCGTGAAGATCCGGGGTAGAATAGGTCTTCAGCAACCCATGCTTGCCACAAAAGGCGACTATGCTTGTCGTAAGAGGCGACTAACGGGATCGGCTGGTCAGGCTCGCTGACTTGGTTGACATATGTCATCGGTTCCCAATTGCGCATATCGATGCTCATGCTGTTGTTCACTGAGATTGTCTGGTCCAGACTCGATTATTTACAAACCGCCGCCATATAGCTGTCATATTGCTGAGTGCGGCGTAAAACTAAACTCACTCACTCACTCTGTCTATGTAAGTGTTATGTATTTTACGCGCAGATGAATTCGGTTGAACTACGTTTGACCTTTTATTGAGCACCTGGTGTCATCAATGAATCCATTCGTTGATTCATATACATTCATATACGTTTCATGGTTATTTGGCTTATTTCGTGCAATGGTATCTGTGTTAGCTGATAATTACACTGGGTAGCCTCTGGTGTTGATGTTTGCTATAATTGTTTAGTTTTTAATTATATGGATTTGATTGATGTATTTTTCTCTCCACGGCCATTAGCACAGTCATCTGAATTCGTTAATATCCAAAACCATGGACAGTGAGTATATCATTTCAAACAAATCATGAAGGAATATATTGTTTCATTTATGATATCTGAAAACATGTTTCGCTTTAAAGAATCCTTTGTTCGTTCTCAAGGTTAAACATACATAATAAATTTGTATCTATACAGTGCACATGCTTTCATTGGTGTGTAATATATTCGTTCAGAACACTATCAGTGTAACTTGCCTCCCCTATCTAATATCAACTTTGTATCTATACATCACAGATACATCCAGCGTGTGTGTAACAAGTTCCTTTAAAACATTACCATTACAAGTTGCAGATACGACAGTAATCAGCTATCATCTCAAGATCATACTTTCATCTTTCATTGTAGATACCAGTGGAGGGTGATAGAAGCATTTCATGCACGCTTCGTGCCGTTTGCGCATGATTTATGTTCTGTTTTGATAGTTTCTTTGGTCAAGACCTTATCATCTTTAATGATTGATATGTCAGCTGTGTAAAGGTATCGCGAAGAGGCCGTTTCCATAACCATAAGACATTTCTGCTGGAAGGATTACAATAAAATCATATTATATGAATACTGTTTAGAAACAATATTTTATTAAATACATCGATTCGTGCAATATGAGTAATGTATATGTAAAAGCTATTTACTTCTGACACAGGTATCATTAACATACTGTCAGCAAATGACTGACAGTGTCAAGGTTCATGGTTTAATTAGTGTGTGTACATATCACTGGCTCATGTTGGTTACGGCCCTGATGACACGTTGAGAATGGATTCAGGAAGCGGCTAGTTAGGATGGCAATGATGTTAGGGTGTGATGTTTACAGGCGGAAAGTTCACAATTCTTGAAGGCTGACGTTTCCCTGGACGTTGAAGATATATATGGTCCCATTTGTTATATATTCAGTATGGCCCGCCGCCATATAGCTGGAATATTGCTGAGTGCGGCGTAAAACTAAACTCACTCACTCACTCATATTCAGTATGGCTCATCTGCATCACATCATTGTTTATACACTTAGAAATGTTTTTGTCATATTTCTCCGATATATCTTTGCCAGATATAGTTTTAACGCATCTTCGCAACTGACGTTAGAATCACTTTACAACTGTACTGTTTATAATGGTTAAGACCACTATGCTCAACGAAGAGTTTTTGCTAGTAGATTTTTACGATACGAGAGCGTATCTAACATTATGCTGTACTCAAGTGTTATTGCAGAGTGTCTGTTTCCCTCGTATATCAGAACATTATGTGAAGCCAGTTTTACAGATATACAGTCAAGCTTCTCACCAAACCTGCTCCTTTCAAGCCGGGAAAGCAAGTCTCAGGTCAGCGTGACATTGTGCACATACTTCCAGCCTGTGTCCACAACCGGGAAGGAAAGCTTATGTTATTTATTCTTTGATATTGATATCTCCTGCAGTTGAATACAAAACTGTCCTAAACAAGCAGTTCCCGTGAGAAAATACAACACAGTCAATTTACACTGTTCATCCCAACTTGAGCGCTCAATCTTCATCACTGTCTTCTGTGGATCTTCTTTCAAGTAACCACGCCCGTTGTTTTTACGCTTCATCCAGTACTCCTCCATATTTCGCTGCCTCGTGGTTCTGTTATGTTTAGAATGGGAAATGTGACACCAAATTGGCGTCATTTGGCGTCTACTGGACAGAGAGAAATACATACAGGAAATAAACATGGGCAAAAGCGGATAATGATTGGAAAATGGTTGCTAGGTTAGTACATTTCTTGCAGTTGGTGCGACATTCGTGGAAGCAGATAAAACAATGTAACTCAACCTGGTGGGGCTGCTGAGATTGGGCTTTTACGACTGTACTCCAAATATTACATGTTACATGTTTTGCATGTTCTCACAAGGGTATACAAGCCTCCTTTGAGAAGATGGGGATATTATTAACTATTGTATGTCGTCGACATAGGGTGCACTTGTAGACATTCATCAACGGTGTGTTGCTGTCTGCCATTGCTGGCCTGGTAACCTGATGAGATGACCTTGAAACGTGTCAAGGGTACCGGCGGAAACTGAACGTTGACTAAAACAATCGCTGACAAATACGACCGTGTTATTGCATTGTCGAGAGTAACTGGCTGTCTTCCACGTCTACCACCATAAATAGTTAAACAGCTGTCAGTTCCCTACTTTCAGTTTTTTTCACAGTATACCATTAATGACAGTAGAAGAAGATCAGTTTGTGTCTAGAATGCTGGCCGCCCCTAGATCTCTTGGTGACTATTTATTCTGTGGTATGTACAGACTTTCTTTCATGGGTTCCAGTATGTCAGTTTTCAGTATTTCAGAAAACTCCACACCCACTACCTACTACACAAATACCGGAAGGTAAGGATACAGTTTGCATCAATGGCCTGCAAGATATAAACTATTTAACAGAGGTTTACCAACAGAGGACTAGCAACAGATGTAGAATGAAAGTAATGCCCCATCAACAGATAGGGTATGAAGTCGTAGCAGATAATGTCGTGAAACAATGGCCTACTAACATGTAGAGTATGAAACGAGCACACCTATCAGCAGATACATTATGATACCTGGCCCACCATCGTATGTAGTGTGGTGTAGTGTAGTGTAGTGTAGTGTAGTGTAGTGTAGTGTAGTGTAGTGTAGTGTAGTGTAGTGTAGTGTAGTGTAGTGTAGTGTAGTGTAGTGTAGTGTAGTGTAGTGTAGTGTAGTGTAGTGTAGTGTAGTGTGTCTTGTGTTGTGTCGTGTGTTTTGTGTCGCGTGTCTTGTGTCGTGTGTTTTGTGTCGTGCTGTGCGGTGGTGTGTTGTGTGTCTTGTGTTGTGTGTCTGGTGTGGTGTGGTGTGTCTTGTGTTGTGTTTCTTGTGTTATGTGTTATGTGTGTTGTGTCTGGTGTGGTGTGGTGTGTCTTGTGTTGTGTGTCTTGTGTCTTGTGTTGTGTGTCTTGTGTTGTGTGTCTTGTGTCGTGTGTCGTGTGTCTTGTGTCGTGTGTCTTGTGTCGTGTGTTTTGTGTGGTGCGGTGCGGTGGTGTGTTGTGTGTGTGTGTTGTGTGTCTTGTGTTGTGGTGTGTGCGTGGCGTGGCGTGGCGTGGCGTGGCGTGGCGTGGCGTGGCGTGGCGTGGCGTGTCTTTTGTTTTGTCTTTGTGTGTGTGTGTGTGCGTGCGTGCGCGTGTGTGTGTATGAAATTTATCAACCAAAAGAGCTTGTGTTCTTGTAAGATACACTTGATTAGTGATATTGCTGCCCCTAGTCAGCGTAATGCCAGCTATTTCACGGCGGCCTATCAATGAATCTACATGGTCAATGGAAACCAATGACTGGAAGCACATGTAATGGTCCATGCCACAAGTTACGACCAGCAATGATCAAAGGTTGCTGGAACGACAAGCTTTGTATATCGGAGTCCAATTTCACCCCTGATTGACCTTTGATTAATATCATGAAGAGTTAGTTATTTTGTGGAGTAATTTATGCACAAATATTTTGTTCCGTTCATAAATTAATGTTTATGTAGAGAACACGTTTTGATTGAGTGTAAATCTTGAAAATAGTTTACCATAAGTGTATGTATATCTCATCATAAGATACATTGAAAGTATTGGGGCGGCGAGGTAGCTTAGTAGTAAAAGCGTTCGGTCATGCTGAAGACCCGGGTTTGATTCCCCACATGGGCACAATATGTGAAGCCCATTTCTGGTGTCGCCCGCCGTGATAATGCTGAAACACTGCTAACAGCGGCGTAAAACCATACTCACTCACTCATTGAATGTATTTGTGTTATTGGTAAAGGCATTGCATTTAGATAACCAGTAATAGATACATTTCAGGTGTATCTTGTATATCGTTCATGATTGCATGCATCGTGTGTACAGTGTATAATGTTTTCATGTGATACATCATGGATGTACATGCTCTTGTACTATACATTGTATGTATATATTCTATCACGGTGTATATGTGGCCTCCCGGTTTGAACTAATCTGTATCTACGTATGCTTGTCGAGACGACAAACAGGATCAGGAGGTCAGATTCGTTGTCTTGGTGAACGTATGTCATAGTATCCTAGTTGCTTAGAGCGATGCTCATGATGTCGGCCATTGTATTGTCTAGTCCAGATTTGCTACAGTTATCCGTCTTATAGCGGGGATATTGTTGAGTACGGCGTTAAACAACATATGATGCTTTATGCAAATTCTGTCATGAAAAATTCTGTAACTCCAAGCGATCAATAGATGATACACGCTCATTTACATACTACTATTATAAAATCTGCATTGTGGAAATAAAGTGTATCATCATGTAACATATGTTATATTTGGGATTACATTTTCTTAGAAAAGTTCCACGGAAGCCGCGATGGCTGGGCGGGTTAGGAGGCTGACTTTGTGTACTGGCGATTAAGTGCCTGATTCTGAGTGGGACTCAACCCAATAAAAGTACTAGAATCTGTACTTTACTAAGAAAGTGTAATCCTAAAATATAACATATGTTACATTTGAGCACTTTCTAAATGGCACTGTGTATTTATATATCATGATACTTTTAGATTAAGTTTTGTTGACTTTATCTAAATTGACTCCTTTGTTGAAAATAATTAATGCAAAACAGATCCTAGGCCATCTGTGTAAATGGAATACAGCCACAACTACACATGCACAATGACTGTAGTGTAGTTCCCAGCAGTAACAATGCATGGTTCGTTTCATGTGAATATCCAAACTGACATTAAGAGTAATTGTTTCCTGCTACCAAGCCACCGCTATTCCAGCTATTTAATGCCGGCCTGTAATTAATCGTTTCTGGGGAAGTTAAAGTGAGTGAGTGAGTATGGTTTTACGCCGCTTTTTAGCAATATTCCAGCAATATCACGGCGGGGGACACCAGAAATGGGCTTCACATATTGTACCCATGTGGGGAATCGAACCCGGGTCTTCGGCGTGACGAGCGAACGCTTTAACCACTAGGCTACCCCACCGCCCCTTGGGGACGTTAAAACAGTGATAGACTGCATCAGAAATGATCTACACCGAAGGTTAAGATGACCCAATGAACAAATTCTGCCTCTATATTTGGATCCAGTTTTACTCCTCAAACCACTTTGAGCGATATTCTGGGCACCAATACGTTGTATTTTCGGATACCACGGGTACTGAAACACGTATTTCGTTCCGGCCATAAACATTTCAGTTACACATGATTTCTTATGTGGATTGTTTACAGGGCATAGCCACACGAGAGGAATACTCCTGTGCAGCGTTAGGTCACCATGAAACATTAAATATGTTGGTTCATTGTGGGGGCGGACATGCTAACCCTTCTCACTAACATCTGTGTCATCGCTGATATTCGGTGGTTAACTGAAAGAACCTTCACCACTTTACGCCCAGAAGAATACTGTTTCACATACAGTAAAATTCTGAGGGTTGGTGTTCTATTTTTAGATGAGAATCCCTACTACAAATACATTTTGTACACAACAAACGACCCGAAAGTCCCACTACAAAATAAAGTAATCAACAAAGACAGACTGAAGCAAACAATCGAGAGGATTAATCAGAAACATAACTGCCTTATTTCTTTGACTTCACCAAGACTTTCTTCTCTACTGGACATCCTTGGTGAAGAGGAAGCCAAGAATACTTACACTTAAAACAATGTACGAGTCTCCAGTGTAGAAGGATCCATATGTTGAAAGGTCCTGTGGTACCACCTTCAGTTTCTGAAATGAATGAAGACATGTTTAAGCATGCAGTCGTAATGTAATATACGGCCTATAGTTGTGTGTGAGGGATATACCACAGGACACAAACTACGGGCGTTGTTTACTATGGTGGAAGAAAGACATACTGCATGATCTACTTGATCACCGGTGGGTTCAAACCAAAACACTTTAAAGATGACACTTGTGAGTTGGTGCCTAAACACCTTGATGATACAAGCCCATAAACCCAAAAGAAATTAAGGGTCATGTTGACCATTTTCGTTACCCTTGATCCTGTGGCATTCGCCATATGACACTTGCACGCATTCAAAACGTTTTAGATATTTTCCAATTTGACACGCATTAGTGACAAAAACAATCCTATGTTGACTTCTACCATATGTCCTTGTTATTTTGGAGATGAATATTTGAATTGCCTTTGCATGTGTTTGTTGACAGATGGGGTAGTGTTCGCTCACCTGATAATAGGAACACCTGATAGCATCAGTATTTGGCAGTGATTCATAAACACATGCTTCTGATGTTGTCAGAAATGTACACTTGACTCTTTCAGTAAACATATTGCATGACTGTAGAGATAATTTTATCGTTGTGTTGAGTGTTATGTCCAGGTATTGACCGAAAATACCCCGTGTTAGTAGATTAGCAATTAATTTCAGCCAGAGAAAAAGAAGAAAAAGTGTATGAATGTTTTTTGTTGTTGTTTTCATTTCAAATTCGTTGAAGGCAAACGAAGAGGTTAAGTTCCTCGAACCACCTCTTATGACCAGCCTTAATTATTAATAAGTGAGTGAGTGAATGAGTTTAGTTTTACGCCGCAATCATCAATATTCCAGCTATATGGAAATAATCGAGTCTGGATCAGACAATCCGATGATCAACAGCATGAGCATCGATCTACGAAATTGGGATACGATGACATGTGTCAACCAAGTCAGCGAGCCTGACAACCCGATCCCGTTAGTCGCCTCTTACGACAAGCATGGGTTACTGACGATCAATTTCAACACGGATTTTCACGGGTTTAATAATTAATAAACTTACAACAAACATATGTAATTGACATGGGATAACGATAAGCTGTCATTTCAGAACCTGGCACAACTCATCTCAACAGGAGAACTTGATATACATCCTGATAGAGTGTGTCATGGAGACCCATAAGCAGAGCAATCAGAAAGTCAATGTCACTGAGCATCACGTGATCACAGCACGTGCCAAACTGATTATGAAGCTGAATACCACAAAGAGGTAATTTGCCACAAGTGATGCCTACCGTTTCCAGATTGACAGATTATACCAGTTGTTACTTCAAGCTGCGGTAGTACTTAGTGAAACGTTGGTATTGGTTTCCACTGTCAATGCATTACTATTGTGGAAGTGTTCTACTCCAAGGAAATGTGCCTCGTGTAATTTATATTATATACACAACTATTGTTCATAAAGTCTGGGTTACAAGTAACAAGTATATTGAGTTGTGGTTTAATTTAGTTTTTTGCAGTTATCACTGAAACGGTGCGTGGATAATGCTTTTGTGACCTCCTAAAAACAAAAAAATATAAGACACTTGCAACAGATTACAGAACTGCCAGCAAGGTAACATAAGCCATCAAAGCAAAGATAAGACATCATACATGCGTGCAAATTGCTTGCACTCACAATTGTAGGTTTTGGGACTTTATAGCGCATTTATATTCTCTTTGGGTTTCAATAGCATTTGTATGTAATGGAAGTTTTATTTTCATTATATGGAATATAGAGACAACTAAGTAGAGTATTGCCGGCAGATTTCTATACTCATGCCAATAATGGTTGTCACCCACTTCAATTTTTTAATTGGAGAAGGGGTGTGGGGTGGGGTGTGAGGTGTGGGTGGGGTTGGGATGGGGAGGGGGTGACAACCATTATTGGCATGAGTATATATACCGTCTCTTTCGTACAGTATTGTTTGTAGGAAAGTACTTTCTCTTGTCTCTTTAACCCATCTGAGATGCTTATGCTTATTTTGAGTTAAACTTTACAAATTCTACAAACGGGTCAATCTTCAAACATTTCGGGAAATTATACAATTATACAAGAACCACCGTTTCAGTGCAACTGCGATACGGTTTGGAAATATTTATTTTATTTTATTATACTGCTGTTTTAGGGTTTCTGATTGTACATACACTCCCCCCTACCCCCTACCCCGTTTATTCGTGCGTTAAGAGGCGATTAAATAGATCGACTGGTCATCTCCAGGAGTTGCCGACCGCGTGTCACCTTCCTTAATCGTTGTACATAGTACCAAGCACTGGTATGTCTGGTCCAGACTTGCTTATATACAGGCCACTATGGTATAACCGGCATCTTGCTGAGTACGGCGTTAATACCGACAGTCGTGATGGAAATCGGGTTGTTACTGAGGGTGACTGATTGTGTGTAAGGGAATAGGGTGGTCGTTGTACATAGTATCAAGCACTGGTATGTCTGGTCCAGACTTGCTTATATACAGGCCACTATGGTATAACCGGCATCTTGCTGAGTACGGCGTTAATACCGACAGTCGTGATGGAAATCGGGTTGTTACTGAGGGTGACTGATTGTGTGTAAGGGAATAGGGTGGTCGTTGTACACAGTGCCAGCTACTACGTCAACGTGTCCATATTCGATCGATGCTCATGGTTTCGATCACTGGATTATTTCCAGGCCGTCATTTCGATAGGTTATTGCTTAGTGTGTTGTAGAAGCTTGATTACAGGTAACAGCTGAGGGAGAGGACTACATATATCTGAGTATCATATTTCACAGAAACATTCTCAATAATGTCCAGTTTCCGACAGGGCAATATTGTGTGGAATACCGCCAATGCATGTTTTGGCATTGAAATGGGTACCGAAAAAATGAACAACACCAGGATATGGGTTCTGGTCAGTTCATAATGGATCTTCTTGGAACGTCTCCAACCCCTACCAGACTGCCCATCATACGCTAATTTCCAGCATTCCACAATTATCTTAACAAAATATCTGTTTGTATACACTAATCAATAGTAACAGTCTGAAACAAGCATTGAACGTTTGGTCGATCTCCTGGCTGTGTCATACCGACATATGATAACAGATTGTGTTGTTTTCCTGACGCTGGAAATTAATGGAATCAAACACGGGCCAGATGGCTCCGCGTCAGTTACACATACGCACGCACGCACGCAGCCAAAGTCGATAAATGCAATAATATTGATAACTCCATTTCACCACCCCTCACCCATGGTCCCTAATATGGTGATCTACCTTCAGTTGTTGGCAATCTATAGCCTGTTTCTACATTGTCTAGTCATTTCTAGTTAAAATGTTTTAGATCTCATTACTAGTTTTAAATGGATATGGGGCGGTGGGGTAGCCTATTGGTCAAAGCGTTGGCTCGTCACGCCGAAGACCCGGGTTCGAATCCCCACACGGGTACAATGTGTGAAGCCCATTTCTGGTGTCCCCCGCCGTGATGTTGCTGGAATATTGCTAAAAGCGGCGTAAAACCAAACTCAGTCAGTCAGTCAGTCAGTTAAATGGATATCTGTGATACACTATGAGTTTTACTGTTCTTCGTCAACAGGCATTTATTTTCTAAATTTATTGATCTATAATGTATTAATTTTCTCGTCACGATATGGCTGAAATATTGCCGATGTGACGATAAATATTAACTCACTCAGTCACTCACCTCACCTCACCTCACCTCACCTCATCTCACCTCACCACACCTCACCTCAATACATAGGTACAGAGAACATGACGACTCGACAACCTTGTGCTAATTTAATATGCTCGTCTAGTGATTCTTACAATGTGTGTGAATCTAAGTCACAATATCTCTGCAATAAGGGCTATTATTGTCATTGAGGCTGACGTCCATTTCATAAAGTCGGTACACAAGGAAACCGAGTAGGGCTTCCCTATTAGCACTTCTATCTCTTCCCCTTCTCTTCTTAAGTTGTACAATGTGTGAAGCCCATATCTGGTGTCCCCCGCCGTGATGTTGCTGGAATATTGCTAAAAGCGGCGTAAAACCAAACTCAGTCAGTCAGTCAGTCTTAAGTTAATTGAGGATTATAGGAATACATACAACTTAACGATAGTCGATATTATCAGGGGCGGTTGGGTGGCTTCGTGGTTAAAGCTTTCGCTCGTCACGTCGAAGACCCGGTTACGATGCCCCACGTGGGTACACAGTGTGAAGCCCATTTCTGGTGCCCCGTGATACTGCTGGAATTTGCTAAATCGGCGTAAAAGCCAACTCACTCACTCACTCACGCAATATTATCACTACTGTTGTCTGGAACGTCATTTACGTAACCTGACATTCATTGTACATAATGTCATTACCCAGTGGCGCGATCTTCTTATGTGTCGGTCCTTGAATAACACAGTGACATACTTCGGTGACACCGACTCTCAAGGTTAGGAGCACACTTACAAAAATACGAAGAACGCTGCAGCATAGGTGATTGCACACATGCATCACTGCTAGACACAACACTTATTGCTACTGTTTCCATCGTCGTCACTACCACGATCAAAAGACCCACACAAAACTAACCCGGTAACTCATCCAGCGTGTGCAGTGGTATCGTTGTTGCTGCACATTCATGGAGATCACCAGCTGTCGTACATAGACGCCGAGTGAATCATAGACAGTCCTGGTGGCTTGGTCTTGTCTATATCCTGTTTCACCATGTCAGTAGCACTGCACTAGTGTTATACTGAATATGCACGCTGGTGATAGATTGCATGTCAATTTCCTCTGACTGGGACATGTGATTATACTGACAAAGCTTTTACATATTAATATGAAATATCTGCTAAAAGCAGTGTCGATTGTACGATTCCGACTCTTATCATGAATGCGCATCTGCGAATCAGCATTTTCTGTGTCTCTGTTAGGAATATTGCTCAAAGAATGCAAATACCAGCATGACTGCCACTTTACATTTTAAGATTCCTACAGAAAACGCATTGTAG